TGACCTGGAAATCAGACAAGGGACATAGAAACCACAAATGTCCGCTTGGATTCTATTGTGCTCGTCCACTGAACTAGAAACCAAGATTCACGTGGGAAAAAAAGGCTTACACTTGCTTTATTCCCTCGAGCGACCAGCCGAAATGTAATTTCTTGAATTCTTTAAATGTGTGGAATGAAAGATTTCATACGAACCTGTCTTTAAAAACGATGTTTGTATTTGGTGTCAACAATGTTTCAATAGAAATATATTTATGACTGCCATAAAAAGACAAAAAAATATTTTTATTACCACTCATGATGATAATTGATAAAAAAGTAAAACTGAAAAACAGGCTAGCTAACCGGTTTCGAACCCCGCTCAACAGAGTTAAATTGAGGTTAATGAATTAAATAGAATCATACTAATTATAAAACCCAGGTTGTTTGTTTGTTTGTTTGTGTGTGTGTGTGTGTGTGTGTGTGTGTTCGTTTATATATTGGATCGGATTTCCTACCTTTTTCAACCGATTTCAACAAAACTTCACAGGACTACGTAAAATTACCTTGCGGTGGTTCTGACAGCGCCCCAAAATTGGAAAAACACAATTGTTTTTGCATGAAATCAATTTGAAAACACGATCAAGAGGCATCACTGTTTCGAGAATGTAAGGGGACAACTCATATCGAGTTATACTTATTATTAAACCCAGGTTGTTTGTGTGTGTGTGTGTGTGTGTGTGTGTGTTCGTTTATATATGGGATCGGATTTCCTACATTTTTTCAACCGATTTCAACAAAACGTCACTTTTTTTTGGCGGGTACTGTTTCTTATTGTCTTTTTTTTTTTTTTCTTTATTTTTTACATTCAGAATGCTTTAAAATTCCATTTACAAGACAATTGTTTATAATAAAATTGAAAAATTCTATTCAATCGGTAGACTCATAACGATTGAAAACAAATTTTTTTTTGTTTGAGTTTGGGTTTGACCAACAAAAAAAAAAAAACTAATTAAGATATGCATGTCCGTCAATCTTAAACAATAATCTTTGTCAATTTTATTTTTCAGTCTTTATGATGGTCGATACTTGATCTATCTCTTACTGTTACATCCCCGGGCAACGCCGGGCTCTACTGCTAGTTAACACTAAAAAATGGACAATATGTATAGAAAATAAAATTATCGCTTAGATGGAAATTAGTTGGTGGCTCAGTACGAAGTCCTTCTGTTTACACAGAGAGGGCTTCAACGATAAAATATAAATGACCTTCAACATTTTCAAGTGGTGATTCGAGTGGGACTTGCTAAGTAAATGAGTCCACACTGAAACTAGTAGCACAATTATGGCTATTTATATATTTGATATGCAGAATATATCAATATTTACTCAAGCAATGTTGTTTCCTTTATTATTTTTAATGTTTTCTTTATTTGAATAAAAATACCTTCAGGATTAATGTTTTTCTTTATTTGAATAAAAATACCTTCAGGATTAATGTTTTTCTTTATTTGAATAAAAATACCTTCAGGATTATTGTTTTTCTTTATTTGAATAAAAATACCTTCAGGATTAATGCAAATATAAAATTTGTCACTTAGATGATTGATGTTAAAGCAGTTAAAGCTTTTCTAATTAAATAATGTCCTAGTTTGTTTTTTTTTTACACATTTTTTATTTTACGATTCAGAGCAGATTTTCGTCAGTCAGTTACGCGCCATACGCGATACACGCTTAAGCGATTTTGTATATTTCGATACATGACTGACGAAGCATATTTTTTCTCGCAGTACGTTGCCATTTCTTTCTGCAGTAGACCAGTTGCCATTCAAGGCTCTAGAACCCGGTCTGTCCTGCTATTTACCCATAGCTGGGGAGAGAAGAAAAGGATTCACACCTTTCCCAAGGGTATTAGCATGTAAGTGAATGTAATGGATTCGACTGGAATTCGAACTCGGCTCTCTGATTCAGTTATGTGCCATGCATGATACACGCTTAGGCGATCATATATCTTTCGATACATGACTGACGAGGCAGATTTATTTCCTGCTGTAGGTTAGCATTTCTATTTGCGGTTGGCCAGTTGCCATCCTAGGCTCTAGTACCCTGTCTGTCCTGCTATTTACCCATAGCTGGAGGGAGAATAAGAGGATTCATGCCTTTCTTAAGGTTATTAGCACGTAAGTGAATGTAATACTTTTGAATGGAATTCGAACTCAGCTCTCCGATTCCTCAATTCGAGCCGCTATCCATTACTCCACATCAATTATTCATTGAATGCAGGAGTTTCACACACACGTACATACACGTGTGTATCATGCACACCTCTATCGCACACATAAACAAGCACATTCTTAAAAAGCATAGTTTTTAATATCTTCTACTTTATTTTTAACTGTGTACACATTTATCTATATATTTGTATTAATTATTGTTTGTTTTAAATTCCATGTTTCGTTACTTATTTTTTTTACCCGGACTTACATGAGTCCGCCAATTGGTCTATTAGTTTTCTATCTCTTTTTTGTAAAGTTCTAGAGGCTCTAATATTCTCGGAATTGATTAAGCATCTCACTTCACAGGGTCTTCTTTCAGACAAACAATATGGTCTTTGCTTTTCTAGGTCCACTGCAAATGTGTTAACGGTTACTGCTGAAAGATTCTATCAAGCTTTAGATAAGAATGGTGAAGGCACTTGTCAGGGTTTGGGATGTCGGTCTTCTTTAAAAGTTGAATGATTATGTTATTTCTGGACAAATGTTTGAAGTAATTCAGTCTTATCAAATCGCGAAATGAAAGTTGTCTTGAATGGCCACTCTTCTCGATCTTTTTTGCATTAGCCCTTTGAGCCCTGACCACCGCTTTACTGGTGGTAGAGAAAAATGACGTAATGCTCAACAACCGGTTGAATGGTGGTAGAGAAAAATGACGTAATGCCCAGCCACCGGTTGAACGGTGGTAGAGAAAAATGACTTAATGCCCAACCACCGGTTGAACGGTGGTAGAGAAAAATGACAATGTCCAGCCACCGGTTGAACGGTGGTAGAGAAAAATGACTTAATGCCCAGCCACCGGTTGAACGGTGGTAGAGAAAAATGACTTAATGCCCAGCCACCGGTTGAACGGTGGTAGAGAAAAATGACTTAATGCCCAGCCACCGGTTGAACGGTGGTAGAGAAAAATGACCTAATGCCCAGCCACCGGTTGAACGGTGGGTAAACACCTGTAAGTATTTTTACATCTACCGTGAAACATTACATACCAATTATTTGCGAATTTTGACCCAGGAGATCAGGCAGAAGGGTTAAAATTGTTCAGGAACGCAGGACTCAAAAGGTTAAGATTTTTATTCTACCGTTCCGACCATTTTTCTGTTTTCCGGGTAGAATTTGAGCATAAATTGCTCAGTGTCTTTTGAACGATGTTGTCATTTTTATTTACTTTTATAGATGAAATTTATAAGATGGAAAGAAATTGTTTAATTATGCATCACGTCAGTGAATGTAATGGATTCGACTGGAATTCGGTAACTAGGGTTCCTGTTTTACCAAAAAAAAAAAAAAAATCATGATTTAAATTTTTCCAGGGGACATGAAATATAACTAATACAAGCATTATATTTTACAAGAATTAATTTCTCGAAATTTCATAAAATTAAATAAGCAGGAGGGTAACAGATGTAAAAAAACAAATAATTTTACCAAGATTTTACAAAAAAAAGAAGAAACATTTCTAAAATAATTTCATTTATTTGTGAATAAGTCCTAAAAGTTGAATTAAAATCCGATAATTATTTGAATTTTTGCAAGAATTTCGAAATCAATGCATTTTTCACCGCAAAAGGTGCTAAAATTTCCTGTACTAATCTCCACCCCCACCCTCACCCCGCAGACGCAAGAAAAACAACATTTTTAACCAAAATTTTGAACATTCTAAAAAAAAAGTAAAAAAATAAAAATATAATTTAATAATGAAAAATTCTTTGGACTTTCCTCTTAATAATAACAAAAATATTGACGATAAAAATTTGTTTTTATTAAATTTGGGGCATTTTTCCATTATGGTATGCTCTGTTTTTAGACAATCTTTGGAGGTACCTACTTTTATTACTTTTAGTTTGTTTTTTTTTCAATTTGGACAAAAATACCTTTAGGATTCATACAAATATAAAAATCTTCACTTAACTGATTGATGTTATATTCAAGCAAGCACTCCAACTTCAGAGTTTTGCAGATGAAACCTTTTTGTAATCGTTCGGTCCACTCGTCAGGAAATTTTAGCAATTGTAAAATCCTAAACCCATGAGGTAGATATCTAAAATCGCTTTTAACATTTTCGTTTTTAAAGTGTGTATAAATTCCAGTAGGAACGTTGGGTTGCAGTGTGAAATTATAAGATAGACCAAACCTTGTTAGATTTTTTAATGTCAAAATATTTGTATTTGTATATTTTATTTGGGTCTATAGATAAACATTGGTTGTGTGAATACTATTAAGCTGAGCCATAAATAATTTCCTTTTTATTTGTGTTCAACTTTATTTTTCAAAGAATAAACTCCAATAACACGTTAAAAATTGTTAAAAAATGGTTTTCTGTGATATTTATACTAAAAGTAAGTAATATTTATTTTAATTCAAATTATTCAAAACTTTAAATCAGTTAATCTTCCTCAAATAAAGTTTCAGAAAGTATATTTTATTTTTGAAATATTTTTAATAATAATAATTATGTTGTATTAAGAGATTTCTCAATATGGCTGACTAGCGATTTAAAAAGAATCAATTTAAATTCAGTTTGTAATGCAGCAAAGGTTTTGTTTATTGAAAATATTAAATTTCATCGAAAGCTTGCAATTAAAAATAAATAAAAGCTTCAAGAAAGATTTTTCATTTTTAATTATTCATTTTAAACCTTTGGTATCGCGTTTCTGTGGAGGTACCTATATAAATGGGATACCCTGTAAAATGAAGGCAGGTTACATTTTAGATACAATGTGTTCGTGTGGTGTATGTTAGTGTTCAG